AATTGACATATATGAAGATACCAGCTCTTGGATGTTGATAAAAGATATAATCAAATTTGCTGTGCAAACATGGAGCATCCCACTCAGAAATTTAGGGTCATCTATATTTGATTTCAGAGAGTGCCATAAACAAACAGTGGTAGATGTAACTGAACAAACCAGTGTTAGAGAACCTTCAAAAGCAGTATTTTAACTCAATGCCTGTTGATATGAACCACCAAAAATAATCTCTTGAAGTACATGTGTAAATATGGCCATTTGATAACACTTGGGCCTGACATTGCAAGCCTACCAGCAATCTGTCTCATTCATTCAACCCACTGGCTCAACACTTACAAGGTTACTATGGAAGAGAGCAATGCTTGCAAGAGTCCCTAATGAAGTTCTTGGACTTGTTAAACCTTTTATGCAATGCCTGTCATACTCCGATCCTGCTGCCTTGAAAGGCTAACTGCAGTGGGGGGGGGGTACATTTCACCAAACTGCTCAAGATCCAATCCAAATAAAGAACCAATTGTTCAGATGATGACATTACACATGCAGAGCTCTTCTCATAATCCCCAGAAAACTTCCCCCACAAGGTTTAATTTCTAAAATGAGAGTTGCTGTGGTTCATCCCTGACTTAAAGCCATGCATCCGGTTTTGGAACCCCTTCCTGTAACTAGAGACAACAGAAGTTGGCAACCGTTATGTATTGATTTGAGGGAATTGCATTCAATATATACTTAATGCCAGTATCTTTTTTCCATTTTCTGTTTAGGTTTACAAAAGCAGATGTCCTCACCTCAGGCCTGGTGCATAGATAGCAAAAAATAAAATAAATGAAATTACTGTCTCCTGGACTATAAACTTCTAACTGCAAGTCAGGTATGCCTTCAAAGCTCCTAGATGTTAAAATTCTAAAACAACTGGAAAAAAAAGAAAACTGAACTTCAGGGAGACATTATAATCAATCCTGTTCTCTGCTCTTACTTATATGTACATCTCAACGTGTTGCTCCCAATCTATGGAATACTACTCAGAGACTGTATTTAAAGAGTTAAGATATTCTTATTCAGCAAAGCTTTGGGTACATTTTATTCACAGGAATTCTGTTTTTAATTCCTTATATTTCATTCTAGATTGTAAGCTGCTTTAGGTGTCCTATTGGCAGAAAGGTAGGGTATAAATCAAAATAATATATAGTGCTATAGAGAAGCATTAAAAATATGATTTGTCAACCTGCAATCCAAAGGGGTGAATAAACTCTAAGACTGCATTTGTAACAGGCTTCAAAATTAACTGTTAATTCAAACTGGAATATATTGCCCTTCACATAAAGGAACAGAAATTAATTAAACTGAGGTAAGGCAAAGCACTCTACATTCAATCACCTCAAGCTTGCTTCAGAGCAATTCCATTTTCTTAGCTGTGTATAACATACCTTCATCTGAACTGGCTCCTAGTTCCCCTTAATGTGCACTCAACAGCAGGAGTGTGAAGACTTTGTTTTGTGCTATCATTATAAACTGTGCAGTGGCATAACTGACCACATGTTCCTGAGTGACATGCGTGAAGTTTACCATGTGTATGTATCCTAGGAAACAATACATTCTCTAGGTTTTTGTATCCTTATTAGATGACAATCTTTGTAGTCCCAGATAATAAAAGAATGACAGTTGAAGAAATCTCAACTGAATAATATTAACTATTTTTCTCATGTTCTGTAACACTTGCCATTAAGTGAGGAATTTGACAATTGATTTATTTTGCATATGAGATAATTACAGAAATAACAGTTTCAAAATAGTATTCTTCTATTATATCCAGAGTAGTTTAGCTACTTGCTAAAAACCAAGGTTGAGCAGTCATCCAAAAGCAAGAAATTGCTGACTTTGTAATATGACAGAACTGGAAGGAAGAAATTAGAATTGAAATATGTATAATCATCCATAATATGTAGTAAGTGTATATTATAAGGAATATTATATATTAAAAGGTATGTCATGAGAGCTGTTGCTCCTGTGTTCTACATTCCAAGAGATGAACATACATTGATAAGGACAATGCAGGATCTTTTTATCCATCTAAGCAACGTATATTAGCCATGTATACCAATGCTCTAGATTTTCATCAGTGTCAGATATTGCAGTTATAATATGGCTATAAACATGCCATTACTTTCTGGCAATGTTTGTTTTCCTTACCCCCAACCCAGAAATCACCTTTACTGCAGACATTTATACCAGTACTTCAGTCTTCTCTAACCTAGTATATTCCAGATGCTAGCTCAGAAATCTAAGAGTTGCAGTCTCAAAATATTTGGCAGACACCAGTTTGGGAAAACTGGATTTGACATTATTTCTCCCAACCTATTTTGTTTGCAGACGCACAAGTCTCAGACGCTGTGCCTATCAGTTTGGATCCAAAGATTTGTCAAAAAAATGTGTTTCAGTGGCTTTTCTATGAGCTCTTGTGCAAGATTCTCACGGTGTCTCACAGTAAGCATCTCCCTAGATTCAGTAACCGATTGTATCACCTTTAGCTGCAAAAACTGTAACCAATGCTTCCTATAGTTGATGATTAGTTCCTGATTGATTCAGGTTAACTCCAACCCTAACCATAATCCAAAACCCCATCTTCTTTAACTTAACTTCAGTTATTTTGTTTTTGATTTCAAACTTCTTAACCTACATTTCATAATTAAAAACAAATCCCGTAATGGTATCAAAGGCATACTGTCTAATTGCATGAGAAATTATAGTAAAATATGTCAATGTCACAGAGAAACAGTGATAGAAAAGAAGGCATTGTGGCAGAAACGTTATTAAGATAGATTATAGGACAATAAACTAAGATAATTTTTAAAGGGTAAAATTATACTGGCAAAATGAACTGAGTAAGTGATGCTCTCAGTGGCCATCATTATCACTATTAACTGTAAAATGAAAAGAAACTTGCACAACAGATATGTACAATACAGAAAATATGATAAGTCTACAATCCTATTATTTTTCTAGATTGAAAAATTCACAGGAATGGTGATGGTAGCCATGAAATAAAGAGATGTCTGCTAGTTGGAATCAAGACTGTGATAGATATACACAAAGTATTAAAATGCACAGTCATCATACTAAAAAAAGTACCTATTTTCAAGCCCAACTGTAGAACCCAGTTCAGAAAGCTGGACGATTAAAAAAAAAAAAAGAAAGAAGAAAAATATATGCTTTTGAATTGTGATATGGAGAAAACTGCTGAGAATACCATGGACTGCTGGAACAACATACAATATTAGATGACATATAACCAGATTGTTCACTGGATGCCCTAAAAACAAAGCTAAAGCTTAAATATTTTGGACACATAATGGGAAGGCAAGAGATAAGACCCTGATACCTGGAAAAATTAAAGGCAATAGAAAAAAGGCCAACAGAAGACAGGTGGCTATGTACTATCACTGATAAAACAAGTATGGTCTTACCAGAATGCAAAGAAGCAGTTACTGGAGGACAATCCTAACAAAATGATATTGGCTGACTCACAAAAGCAACTGAACAACAATGTCCACTGAATTCAAATGGACACTGAGGAAAAGATTAGTCTAGAACTTTTCTTCCTGACAGCTAGATTCATGTACTAGATTTGTGTAAAATGCAAGGAGGTTGCGCATCCAGGTAGATAACACCCGCCCCCACCACACTGTCTCATTAAGACTCAGTCCTTATCATTTGACTACTATAGATTTAATGAATCTAATGTATCTGCTACAATCACACATTGAATTCAGAACCAGCATTCACACTATCAGGGTTATAGAACAACTAAACACAATTGTTGGAAGAGGCAAAACTTAAGAAGGGGATGTTTAAGTCTGAAGCTCTTGCAAATATGGAGCTGGTCAACTTGCCAATGGAGGGTTTCATTGTTCAGTATTGAGACCAAAAATCAGCATAAGGTAACTGTAGACTGTGGCTTCCATTCAAAGAGAAGATTGTGAGAAATGGTAACTTGTCCAGGGCCACTCCAGGGTTAACCACAGTCACTGCACATTGACAACATTTCTGGTAAATTCTTTATCTCTTGGGCCATACTACAATCACCCACATATGCAATAAATATGAGCATTCACATAGTAGCTAAAGCCAACTAAGGTTCGTGGCAGGGCTGAGAAACCTATGGCTTTCTGGATGCTGTAGAATTACAATTGCCAGCTTCCTTTGTTGGAGCCACTGGGAGGTGTAGTTCACAACTCTTCTACACAAGTTTGTTGATCTTCAGGGCTCACACTGCAACGTTAAATCACATGTGTCTAAGACTAAAGGGCATTTATAAAGAAAAACAGGACTTTCTCCCAACTAATATTTCAAGCTTTGGACCACCTGTGCTCAAAGGGCTACAGCCTTAGTGACTGCGGGTCCAAGACACTCCTACTCCTTCTACCACCTCCGACTGGTCCTTCAGCCCTGACGTTGGTGATCAACTCGGGTTCTCAATCATCAAGGTCACGAGAATGCCGTGACCTGCAGTCCGACCCAGCTGGAAAGCGCACCAGTTTGGGCAAGGCTGCTCTTGCGAAACCCAGATCCACTGCGCTCCCGCCTTCCCCGCTTGGATTTCTGCCTTGCCGTGCAGGCGAGCGGCCTGGGCTCCTCTCCAGGTGGGCCCCCCTCTGCCCTAGACCGCCCACGACAGGAGGAGCGAGGGCAGGGCGGCGGCCACCGCTCCCCCACCGTCCCCGCTCCACTCACCTTGGTCACGTAAGGCCCCGGGATCAGCAGCTTGAGCGCCTGTCTCTTCAGCTCCACCAAGCGGGCGTTGCAGTTCTCACACCACACGCCGCGATCGGAGC